TGGGTCGTATAAAGGGTGCTTGCTCGCCGCGGCCGTGTGGATTTGCGTGGAGGCGGAGAGTGGTGCGGGTAAGTAATGGATGGAGTGCAGAGCCAACTAGAGTGCATGCAGCGGGTGTCTTGATCGTTAGCCCCTGCCCCTGCCCCTGCCCCTGCTATGCCGCTTCTGGACGCGATATCAGTCAAATTACTGGCGAACTTTCTTGACCAATGCTCCGATTCAGTGGGAAGAGTGGGGGATTTAGCGAGTAGCGCTGGCTGGCTTCGGCTGAGAAAGGAGGAGGCGCATGGGTGTGGAGAGAGATGGATTCAGAGGTTGCTGGTTGGATCGAGTTGCAATCCAAGTCACGTAACGCGCGCGCGTGTTGTGTTACTTTGGAGCCGCGTTGCGCTGCTGCTGCATGCATGCGCGTCGTGACGCGTTCAACGCCGCGCAAGGCTCGCTTCGCCGCTCATCCGCGCCCACAGCATGCAGCAAGCAGCATTCAGATTCACGATTCACGAATCACTGTTTCCCGTTCAAAGAACCAATTAACGCACCGCACCGCGCTCGCCGTCAAGTTGACGATTGAACTCACGACTCGACTGTATCGCCGCGCCAAGCAGCTTGACTCGCATTCGCATTCGCATTCGCATTGAAGCGCAGACATCTTGCGCACTCACCCTGGCCTGACACGCACGACGCCAGCAGCAGCGCACGCGCGGGGCCTCACAAACAATCGTGAATCGTGAATTGATAGATAGCACCAGAAAACAGACGAGATGAGATGCACGGGCATACAGCCCTGCCATGTTCAGCTTTTTTGCAAAAAACCCAAACAAAGCAACACAACTGCGGAACGCGACGCACAACGGCGCAACAACAGCGCAACCGCATATAAACCGCACGCTTCCCTTGCTATACACGTACCGTACCCTCCACGGGCAAGAGCCCCCACGCGTCCCTTCCTGTCCGCTTTTCCTGCTGCGCTCTGCTTTAAACACACGCGCTGAGCCGTCCGGTCCATTCATCATATTTCCATCTTCTTCTTTACGATCGACGGGACCTTCCTAACAAAGTGGTGGGCGGGTTTTCGGTCAAAGGACATGTGAGTGTGCATGTGTGTTTTTTTTTTTCGTTTAAGAGGCATTCACAGCAATCAAAAAAAAAAGAAAAAAAAAAAAGTCAAGGG